GCTTTGCTGTCACCTTGATTTTAAACCAGCAAGACTCATGTTAGACTTCAGACCTATTTTAATACATTAACAATGATAATATGATTGTGTTACTTTAAGCCACCAAGTTTGTAGTAATTTGTTACACCAGCAATAAATACCTCATACATATGTATGTCTTACTTTTCTGAATACTTTATAAATTCTTTAAAGGTATTTGTTAATTCTTACATTTCATTGTATCTTTCGAAATTACCTATTTCTATGCTTAGCATTTTATAAGTATTAAAAGAAGGCTTGATACAATAAGGAAGTTTTCTGCTCTTCTTTTTTTTTAAGAAACTATTTGTACTGAATAGGTTATAATGGCAATCTTAACCTCAGAGTGGTTTTTGCCTTGCCCTGTGCTCTTTCAGAGAAACATTTTGCAATGTGCTGTTTATTCGAGTAATCAGGAGAAAGCACAAAAATTACACTTGACTTTGCAGGAAGATTAGCAAACAATAGTGCTGTTTTGAAAGACACAGATCTGTATCTTTGAAAAGGGAAGTTGCAAAACTGTCTTTTCCTTTATCTATTCAGATTCCTTAGGAAGGAGGATTTTACAACTAGTATTATCCTTGTTGGAGACTCTTTTATTTGTCTGGCAATCCTCCAGTCCAAGTTTATCTGATACCCTAAGGCTTCCCGGAGCCTCCTCTGGGATGTAGATCCAAAGTTTTTGTGCAAAATGTAACTGAAAAATTGATGTAGCAGTGCAAAAATATTGCCAAATAATTTATTTTAAAAGAGCAGAAAAAATAGTTATAGGAATTGCACAAAGTTTGTCAAACAGATGGTTTTTGCTAAAAATCCTGGCCACATCCTCTAGAACCTGTGGGTGTAAAGTGGGCAATTGAAAGTATTTTTATTCTCCCCCTCCTTACCTTATTGGCCCATTTACTATGGCTTGGATGGCTGTTGTATTTACACATCTTATTACATACATAAATCATATGTTAAAACCTACTCCAATTCTTGCACCTGCCGGGAAATGACATTAATAATCATTGAGTGCCCAATGTACTAATAGATATGAGGTCATTCAAAGAAATAGTAGACATATTCCCCTTCCAAAGAAGGAATTATCTTCTACCAACAAGCCTAACAATAATAACCTGAGTAGAGCCACTAGAGATTTTATATAATATATGTATTTAAAGTTATTTCATATAATTTTGAAGTTTGTGTTTCTATTCTTTGTATTATATTTCTTATGATTTTCTTTTAACTAAGTAGAACTCGGTTTATTCTCTTCCTTTCTTCCTCAGTTATTCTAGTGTTTGGTAACCGAAACATTAGTATATGGCAAATCTAAGACTGAAGCCTAAACATTTTGCTTCTGGAGTCTATGTAATTAACCTCTGGAAAAAAGGGAGAAAAATATGGCACAGCAGTCTAGAGACAAAATACAGGGGTTTTCCTCCAATTTGAACTTGAATTCAATGTTGGAAAATAGGGAGAAATCTATCCATGTGTAATAAAACTGACTTTTCTCTGTTGTGTAGGTGGCAGCATGGATAAGTTAATTGTCTCAATTATTACTCAGGACTGCCCTATTCCCCACTAATAGATATGAGGTCATTCAAATAAATACTATCTATAGTATTTTCTATTTTTTTCTGAATGCTATTAAGGGTTACAAGTTTTTTGGATATTAAAATAAATCATTAACTCTATTATAAAATCTGAGTTTACCCATTGCTGCTAACAACACCTTCAATTGATATTTATTTATCCTCTCTTGTTTCTTCAAAGACAGGACATTCCACCATCGTTTTAGGCAGTTCTTTCTATTTATTGAGCCATTGTACTGTTAGAAAATTCTCCTTCATATTGATATGAAATCTACCACCTTATAACTTTCATGCACTTGGTTGTGATTCTGCCTCCCAGAGCCAAAGAAAATAAGGCTACTCTCTCTCAAATGCATAAATATGTGTACTGTTTCATAAGGTGCACCCACTCCAGTCCTTTCAACTATTCATTCTCAACTCTTACTTATATTCAAATGCTCTTTTCAACCACCAGTTCCATAGGAGAATAGAACACCATAAACATGATCCAATCCACACAGAGTGCAGCTCTAATTATCTCTATTTGTCAACTAAAAATGCAAGAGATGTCAATTGGATTCAATTTGTATAATGTAGAACCTACCATCTATTGACAGGCTATTATATATCCAAAACTGGGAAAGAACTTTATATAACACCATATCATTTAATCCTCTTAACAACCCCCCGAGGTAGGTACTGTGCGGAGCAAAGCATAGTATTTCTATCCAGATGCAATTTTTCTTTCTCCACATTTTGTTCGCTGTGGTCTCTCAGTGCCCACTCAGTATCACTTCTTCAGGCAGCCTTGTGAAACTTTTCTTACATACTTCGTGGATATTTAGGAACAATAAAATATAAAATGTACATAAATATATTTTATAGCAGTATTAAAATGATGTAGTAAAACCATTCCCACATAATAAATCCTCATAAATGCAGTAATTTTGAAGTGTTATTTTCCCATGTGATCCGTTTTTTAACTGATGCTTATAAGGTTATGTCAGCTCATATATTTACATATGATTTGATTATGTAATATTAACAGGTAAACATTTGGTCACAGGATTTTTAGCTGTTTTTCAAAACTAAAATCCACAATAATTAGGAAAAAAATACATATCATCAAGAGAAAGTTGTTTGGAACATGAAAATAAAAGCAACTGTAACAAAAGTATCCATAAATCACAAAGAAAAGCCTTTGAAACATTTGTCCAAATTTTTTTGTTTTTCAACTGGAATAAAATTTAATTATAATACCATTAGGATCAAGAATAACTGTCCAATAATGTGTTTTAAATTAACTAAATGACACCTTACACTCTTTTCATATCTACTCCAGGAAGCCCTGATTTTTATAGTTCACAAAAATATAAACAGACTTGTCAGACCTCACTAAATTTATTAAGATTTGGCAGACTGCCTACATAAAAAAAGAAAAAAGAAAGAAAAAAAGAAATTATGCTTCAGAAGGAGGTTTAAAATGAATAAGAAAAATAACCTCTTGAAGTCAACCAGCAGAGCAAAGCAGGTTAAAGCTAACTGATGAAATAATGAGTTCCCTTAGTATTTATCTATTATATATTTACCATTCCATTTTTCTTTAACAAAGTTCTAAAACAGATATGCTACCTCCTGAGCTCTATTCATTCTGGCAATAAAATCCAACCTTCACTGAGGTAAATCTGTGTCATGAAAATGAGGGAGAAAGATGAAAAGCATATTAACCAGGTGATGCTGTCGCCTACAAGGATGCCTTAAATTTGTTTTCACCTGGGTCTTCAGTTTATGTGGTACTTAGTAAATCAGCCCCAGATTATGTTGGTTTCACTAACATTAGGCATAAAACCTTGGACTGTGGCTACCTAAAAATAAATAATAAAATAATAAACAATAAGTCTTTCATAATCTTTATAGAAACAAAATGAACTTAAATCACCAGGTTTTGATTTCCTTATTTTATATGTTGTGATTAGCATTTTATTTCCCCTTAAGAAATCAAGGCAATATTAATGAAAAATGAGTGTGCACATATAAATATATAGTCATACAGTCAAGACATGTGCAGAGGAATTATAAATAATAAATTCAAAATTATGTCTTAAAATGATTAATAGTTTACTGTCATTACTTTTAGAGTCATCTTCCAAAACTATTTGCTTTTATTTACAAAGGTTTTAATAACCATTAAGAATTTCTGACATGGTAACATGGGAAATTTCTTAAAATTTAATGATAATATATTTGGTTTAAGAATGAAAAATAATTTTTTTAAAATAGAATATAATTTATCCCAGAGGCTTACTAATGTGGTATATTCATTGTGTTCATGATTAACCTAATTTTCTGCTACTGTGATTAAAAATATGTACAGGATCCAGTCCTAAAAATAGAGAATACAAATTTTCCAGGTGTATCTAGAATTTAAACTTATTGTTGCTAATGACAGAGAGTAAAATGACTTCTGAAACAATACAGTTGTTTTATAAATTCCTTATTTTACTTTAATTCTTGCATCAAAACCAAAGAAAGGTCAATTTTTTTCCTCCCTTTGAATATAACATTACAACAAAGACATTCAAAATACAACAGTCAAACAAATTTAGAGACTAAACTATTAAGTACCATGATTACTCCCAAGACTTATAGATTGTTTCACTAAAATTAAATTTAAATGATAATAATTAAAATGTAATTCTAATTTTCATCCAAGAGAAATATTGTTTTCATTCTTGCTAATCTTTTCCAGCTATTGAACTGCCTATTGTTATTACATATTTACTATACTATATGAATTTGATATAAAAAGACACATGCAAATTTTTATTTAAAATATCACATAGAAAAAATTCAAGAATGTCTGGGACCAAAAGCAAGAATGTCTTACTGTAATTTTTTAACTTATTACTTGTTTTTGAATGAGTCTAAAAGTATAATTAATAAGTTAGCATCTAAGTTGGACATACATATTTTTATTATCTCTTAAATTAATTGGTAAATGACAATTTTTAGATCTTATCCCACTAATATTCATCACGAAGCATCTTTTTCACTAGGTTTCCTTAATAATATCATACCTTTACTTTTTATTTTTATTTTTGCTTTTATTTTTCTATTTCATTGGATCAATTTATTCCCCTACATCATATCTTTGGCTATTCTCCAAAAGTCATTGCTTCATTGTATTCTTATACCTCAACATTCTCCCTCTGAAGACTGCTTTACTGCCAAGGCAAAGCCTCTTTATGAAAGTAATATGTTTCATTAAGTTAAGATTCCTCAGTATTTAACTAAGAGACCCATGTATATTTCAGTATCATCCCTTCTTTCCCACTGTTTTCTCTGTAAGAATTTATTGAGTGCCTTCTTTCTGCCAATAATAGTTCTAGGTTGTAAAGACACACTGATGAACAAGATTGGCAAAGGTCCCTGGTCACCTGGAGATGGTATTTTATTGAGAAGAGACAGCAAACAAGTAAATAAATGACACAGATTATTTTAGATGATAAGAAGTACTTCGAAGAATGTAAAACACACAGGTGTGTTAGAGTGGTAGGGCAGGGAGGGATGGAACATGTAGATTGGACTAGGAAAGACTAAGTGGGAGAAATGACAAGGGAGCTAAGAGCAGAATGTCAAATGAAGATAGCTTTGGACAATCTGGGACAAGATATTCCAGAGGGAACTGCAAGTATGATTTGAAAGCTGTCTACCCAGAATGAACCTGTCGCCTGACCACCCCCCTCAATTATCTACAGTCCCTTTGGTCATTTCAATACATATTTGAATGTCAACTCAGAGTGAATTTAATAAACCATTATACTAACTTCCTCTTTGAACTTGCTAACCCTTTTAACTTTAAAATGTTTTGGGTGACATTATCATTTTTCAAATCACCAAGTTCAGAATCTTGAATCAGCTGAGACATAAACACATCCTTCCTTTTCATGAAGAATCACCCAATATTTTTTTGAGATGCTCTCCTGCCTCTTTCTTCTTACTTCCTTAGATGTGTCAACCTGGTCCAATTACATCACTTCCTTAAAACAGTTCCTCATCTGTCAAACAGAGATAATACTTCTAGTGGTTGCATACTGCTCCTGGAAATTAAAAGGGTTTTGAAAAGTGACACATAGATTTAAAATCTGGCCCACCTGTTATTAGCTGTGGCTTCCAGAGAGTGGTAACCTATTTTAATCTCATTTTCCTCCCATTATAAAAAAGGATCCATAAAATAAAATTATGTACTTGCTTCATAAGACTTTTGTAAAGAATAAGGAAGATATCATACAAAACGAACCTAACATAAATATTTAATGAGTATTAACTAACCTTCCTTGTACTTTTTGATTATAAAACTAAAGAAATTAGTGTAAGGAAAACACTTTACTTACAATGTGAAATATTTTATAAAACACTTTCCTGCTTTTCTATTTCTTATATTCCTAATATCACCACGTGATCCAAATTCTCAATTCTTCCTGCTTGATATTTTCTCCAATTTTTGGATACAGATATGGTCTGAATGTTTATGTCCCCCCAAAATTCATATATTGAAATCCTAACCCCCAAGGTGATGAAATTATGAGGTGGAGGTTTGGGGGGGTTGATTAGGTCATGAGGGCAGAGCCCTTGAAATGGGATTAGTGCCCTTATAGAAGAGACTCCATAGAGATCCTTCCCCCAATCCACCATTTGAGCACACAGTTAGACAGGGCCCTCTGTGAAACAGAAAGCTGGCCCTCACTAAACAAAATATGCCAGCACTTTGATCTTGGTTCTAAGCCTCCAGAGCTGAGAGAAATACATCTCTGTTTATAAGCAACCCAATTTATGATATTTTATTATGGCAGCCCAAATGGGCTAAGACGGATGCTATGTGAAGAAGTCATAATTCTTATGTCTTTAATTCCCTCATGTCAAGCACATTGAAATTGGGGCATTGGAGCTTGGAGTCTGTAGATTTTGCCCTAGAATAGATGACAAGAAATGGAAACTGTCATTGAGAATAGAGTTTTGACAGTTCAACTATCATTTGATTCTTGTCCTGCTACAAATAGTCCCTTGGGAACGAATGCCTAAGCCCAGTGGTAAAGTAGAAGGAGGATTCCAATCACCCTACACTAGAAGGAGATCCTTCTTCATTAAACTGTGATTTCCTGGAGGTCAAAGCCAGGTCTCATTTGCCTCATATAAGCCAGTGCCTACCACAGTTCCTGGAATATGGTAGGTGCTTGATAAAATGTGTGTTTTTATTTTCACATGATGCTGATATGTTCTTGAGTAAATTTTCAAGTAAGACAGAGATATCACTAAATATGAAACCGCTACACTTTCCAGGATTGAGTTTCTAAGGGTGCAGAGGTTCACGTGGAGAAATCTGTGACCCCTGGCATTGTGTTGCTTGAATGACTGGTTATTTTGAAAGGATTGCAATCATTGAGCCAATTGGAGAGCAGTCCTCAGCCCAGTCCTGTATACCCCACACCACCACCCATGATCAGGAGTCTGGCTGCTTTCCCAGAAGACTTTGCCAACAAAATAACTATAATATCATGGAGCAGGTCAGAGCCCTCACAGATCAAGAGAGAATCTCTTTTTGAAGCTATCATTCCCTGTAATGGAAGTTCCGGCAAAGAGGAGCTTTTGCTGTGGTTGCTTTATTTGTTTTGGGTTGTTTTTGCGATTGCTTTTTTTGTTTTGTTTTGTTTTGTTTTTAACCAAGTTTAAGGCCAGAGAAGTGTATCACCCTTAAAGTAACCCCAGCACTTCATGCCAGAGGAATTTCTGACAAAATGAATGGTTTCAAATGCAACAGCCTGCTAACCAAGTTCCCAGCTTGCACTCTCCCTGGAATCTGCAGTATTGGATTAACTCTCACCAAAAATCCCCTAATTCTGATGCCTCTGCCATCACTATTGTCTACTCCAATCCTATGAACTTTCTAGGTGGGGTGAGCTAATTTGGACAACTAGATGTATGGTCATACTTAAAATCATTTTGTTCTATTTCTCCCAAATACATTTTTAAAAGAATGTAAGAAGAAAGTAGCTAAGCCTCTTTAAAAACACAAATTCAAAACACAGCACAAGGAACACAGGAAGTTTTACTGAGTAACTGAAGTGATTACATGCAAAGCACTTTCCCATAATCAGTGAGTTTCAAAGGAGGGTAGAGGGTGATTGGCAGTGTTGGCCACCCTTGAAACTACGTCCTGATTGGAGAAAGTAATTACAAGCAAGGAGAAAGAGACCCAGTACTCTGTATCTCTTTTATTTTTAGATTTAATCTGGGACAAGAAAGATTACAGTAGAAAATAAAATTTAGAAAGATTAGAAACCTCGTTCTTGGGGAAGAAGCAAGCAATTCCTACTGTACCAACCACAACAGATGAGCACCTACTATGCTCCAGGTTGTGGGAATGATTAAAAGATTTGATGTCACGAAAACCAATCATGTGAACTGTAAATTTACAAACAGATATAAGCTGTCAATGTGGATCTTAACTTTTCAAGAAAAGTAATTAGGGCAAAGTGGCAAGCTATGGAGTCCAGATCTTCTGGAATGTTGATGTGTATCTACCCACATATACAAGCCAGATACTACAGAGCAATTTCAGTTGAAGCAGACATGGAGTCACTTGATTCCAAGAATTCAGAGCTTTAGGAAAGTGTTTGAAAGCCACTGACCTACAAGAAAGTATTCATGCATCCTTGTCTGCTGTTGGTGCTCTGGCCCTTCAGAAGAACCAGGCTGTTTTTTTGCTATCTTTGAAATGCTTCCTGCTTTTTTTCTCTATCTTGTTCTTCTACTCCAATGCTCCTACCTTGAATTCTTGATCTCCTTTTTTTTCTAAAAAAAACTAAAAACTTGCCATCTTCCCCAAATATTCCCAGATTCACATTTATCTTTTGGTCTCTTCTCATGGTCTGTAGAAGCTACTCAAAGATAGTATTTAGTTGACGATCATTTTTCTATGAGTTATTCAATGTATGGATTTTTCATAAGTCCCATGAGATAATTACCTACAGCTGTTGGGGTGCTTATTACAAGTTGCCCAGCCTCTGGGGTCAACTTTAGAGTGTTTGAATTCTGGCTCTCCCACTTAGTTTGTTATGACCTATAAGCAGGCTACCTGCCATTTCTACACTTCATTTTCTTTATAAAATGCTGATAATACTAGTATATACCTATATGGTTATTTTAAAAGTTAAATAAAATAATGCATACTCAATGTTGAGCACAGTGCCTGGTACATAGAGGGCATTCAATCTATTTCAGCTGCTATTATTACTAATCAGTATTATAAGTATTTTCTCAGGAAAGCCTTACTAAATGGAATTCTGTTGAATAAAAATTAGAATAGGTCTACTAGCTTTCACATTCTTTCCCAAGGAGAAAAATGGAAACTGTTCAGAATGTCACCCATTCACAAGAATGCATTGCCAAAGCCAAATGGGAGGGAACTAGAAAATCCTGAATGGAACTGGCTAAGCAGAAAGCATATTAGACTAAACAACAAACTGGGTGATGGAGGGGAATAATGCATTCATATGAAAGCATTGGCTTTGAAATTCCTGGTCACCCGTGGTCAAGTTGGATGAACAGAAAGTGATGCAGCCCAGCTGCCTTCCTCACCACTGTTCCTTCCATGTTGCAAGCATTTTCTTAGGGTAGGCTTAATATCAACAGTGTTTAGTCTTACCTTTAGGTGTTCTGTTCCATTTTATGTTGAATTCATTTTCTAAGTTCTTTAGTGGGCTTTATAAGTTAATTATAGGTGGCAGAATTTAACTGGTCTAGAAACAAGGGCAGAATTTGTATATTTTTAGAGACACAGATGCCCAGCTACTCTCAGGGCGATGCTAGACCATTAGTTGTGCTGTTTGCTTTATTTTGGTAACAGAGTGGTGAGCCATGAAACACTAAGCAAAACTTTAGGTTGCTACCAAACAGAAAACATCATGATGTTGACAAAATGAAATATAGATAGTATACACAATGAAGCCCCTTAGAATGATTCCCCCTTTTCATTATGTTTAAGTGCATTTTTTAATCATGTAAACTTTCGAATTCAGTTGACATTCTCCCAGCAATCTTGTTAGCTAAAATATGTTGGCTGTTGGTCTGACACCATCTTCTCTGACTTGCCAAGACAAAAGTAGCTCTCTCTGCTTTGTGGTAATTGGAGTTTGTACAATGAGCTGTCGCGTGGTTTTATCCCGTATGTGTCTGTCTCTCCCACTTTGGGCTGTTTACTCCTTGAGGACAAGAACTTTTATTAATCAGCTATGTGTATTTTCAGTTCAGGGCATATACTAGGGCAAAATATAAATGTTGAAGAAACAAATGCTAAATATTGTGTGAATAAATGAGGGTATCTTTTAAAGTTTTCTACTAATTTTGATTTACAGAACTCTGCTAAGTTATTTTCTTGAATTCAGAAGTTTCTCCCACCTCTCTCTCTCCCAGTTCCAGAAAGCTCCTTAACAATGTCCCTAATATTGATTCCTCACAATCTGCTTGGATACAATATTCTGAGTTTTATTTCCTTGTTCGCAAATAGGGATAATCATATGTTTCCCAGATAATATGTTAAAACAAACAAACAAAAACAAAAAAGAGAACACAAAAAGCTCAGGACACTAGCTTTCATAAATGCAGATGTTACTTTTGGCACTAAAGAGTACCAGCAAGAGAAGCAATAATCTTTGAGAGAGTCCTCATTGGGAGACCATGCCCGGGGGAAAAGATTCGGCAGTTATATTTCAACAAACTCATTCTTTTTTTTTTTGAAAGCTCTAAGCCCACATTTCAGTAAACAATGCTCACCCACTTAAAATGTTAGTGAATATGCCACACAGTAATCTTGCAAAGGACAAAAAGAAATACTTACATCTTCAAAATCTTCAGTAGCTAGTAACTACATCAGGCTTGTATTATTCAAGATATTCCATTAGGTGACCAGCAGGTTACTATAGACTTGGCTGTTTCCAGATTTATTGTAATTAATTCTGAATTAAATATCCTCCATTCCAATACAATGTCCTTTCATTAAGAAATATGTTAAATATTGTACATTCTGTGTTCAAAATGCATTTATATCTAAGAGAATGGTATCATTTACTTCTAAATATTCTTTGGCTTCATATAATTCTTTGATCCTATAAAAATAGAGATAAATATATAAATTGTTCTGTAAATATTGATTGTAGATATATATATGTATATATATCTGCTTTGCTAAATCAAAATACATGAAATCATTTTAAATTTCTAGATTTAAATGCCAACATATTTAGCCATGCTTATAAGATTCTTTCCTAACCTTTACTTTTGATTTAAAAGAACTTTAAAATATACACAGGTTAGATTTAAAAAAAAATTAAAATTCTCTGATAGATCTTACTCTCCCTAAGCAATACCTTAAAGACGTTCATTGTTATGTAAAAATGCAAAAACTTTCATGCAAATTTTTGCAAATAATGCAAATTGTTCAGTGAAATTTTTGAAATAGCACAAATAATAAGAAATTTTATTTAAATTACTCTGAATGAGAATGTAGATGTAGCTTAGAAAATAGTCAAAGTATAATAGAAAATATGTTTACCTTAGAAAACTAGTGTGCATAAATTCCTAAGGTCTGGGAAAAATAAGTGGTACTTGTTTACTTTATTGTGTTATAGCATTATGTTGAAAAGGTTAACAACAAATTTCCACTAATTAGACAGTGGCTAAAAAGAATTTTTGTACAGAATTTTAAATCCATTTAACCAGTGTTGGTTAAGAAATCTCCTCCAGCACCAAAACATGAAATCAAAATGTAAATAAAAGATCAAAGGCTTCGCACAGCTGGCCATGGTGGCCCCTCAATTCACACCAGGCCTCACTGAGCAGTTAGCAAAATCATGTTTAATAGCTGTGCTGAGTGTCAGTGTCACCCTGAAAGCAGCCTAGTTTTGGAGATCAGGAAAGGAAAATGGAGAAGAGGTTATAAAGAGGAGATGCTGAAAATATCAGCAAAATATTCAAAAAATATTCACCCAAAAGAGAAGAAAAATGATTTGGGCTTTAAAACTTATTTCACCCTTAGTTAGCAGATTCATATTGCAGACAATGGTTCTAAACTGTTTCTTAAATTAGCACACCATTTTGATTTTCAAATAAAACCACAGGACATCATCAAGTGATCTTAAATAAGATTTAACACATTGTACATCATCAATTTCTCTCTTTAAATCAGGAATACAGATTCCAAGTCTCTTGCTAGGGATCATAAATAAATTATGTCTTGCTTATATGAAATTGTTTAATGCACAGAGTCCTCGTTCATGGACTCATTTCAAAGAACATGATGTTAAATATTAATTGAATTCTTCCAGAATGAGATTATTATGTAGAACAACAATGAGTGGATCCTACAATTTGGGAAATAGACCATTCTCCCCCCTTCTCTTTATAATGCCCTTTAAAGTCTGTCTATAATACATCTGGTGTTTGTTCTCCTAGACTGAAAATAACTAGTAGACCACCAGTAATTTAAATTGTACCCTGTTCCAAGGATATTTGACATGTGGTCCCTTTGGAAGAACTAATGCAAAAAACTGGCGCTAACCCTGGAAATAAGGTTACTATAGACTAACAGAAGGTTGCAATTAACTAATATCAAGAAGGTTAACCTGTAAATTTCTCTCTCAAATACATACTAATCTCATTTGTAAACCATTTTATGCAGTTATAGAAAATGAAATAATAAGGGATAAGGGCTATAGTGTTTAATTTTAAATCTGATTTTTTCTCTGAAAAGAAAAATAAGAAGGAAATGTCACATTAATAGTTACCAGTCTATTGAGGAACACACACACAGTGAATTTATTTAATGTCTAAAGTGTACAGATAGATGGATGAGAAAGAGAGAGAAAGAGAGACTCCTTTTGAAGACCACAATATCTATTTCATTTTTATTTAAACATGGTTAAAAGAAATAAAACTTTATATTTTAAGGTCTTCCTCCATCATTGTGATTTCCTAGTTGAGAGGAAGAAAAGGATAGACTCATTAGGATGCTAGAGGATGAATAGTTAGAAATTATGTAATGTAGCTACTGCACTTATAGATCAGGAAACTAAAATGGGGATCACTGAAGCAACTTGCTGCAGTGTGCACACTTACTGGCAAACATGAACTAGAAATCTGTTTTCCTGATTCAAAGTCCAGAACACTTTTTTATAATGCCATAGTGTCTCTCATAAAATATTCTTCATGAATCTCTATAATTGATAAAATATGGGCATATTTAACTAGGAGGTTAAAATAGTAGCATATAAAACCCAGTGACAAGTTTTCAAAAATTCTTGTATAAAAAAGTTCCATTTAGAATATTTTTTAAAAAGGAGAGGAGGGAGGGGCAAAGACAGTGGTGAATTTTCTAAATTAAATAAGTAACATATTTATTTGCATTTAAAAAAAATAACAGAATCTGATTATGGAGCATTCAACACTTACCTATAGTTGAAAGAATTATTTTAGTTTCATGTTGACTGTTTGGAATGAAGTGCATAAACTAGAATAGGAAGGACATGTTACTATAGTATCCTATGAATTATGGTGCTGCCCATCCTTGCATGATAGAATCCAACAGAAATCATTGTGGGATTTTCTTTTTTACCTCTTTCCAGAGAACATTACAGAACAACACATCAAGCTTAAAAAAGCAAAATAAAATAAAAATTGAATCTGATCTAAGATATTAACTTACATGACAAAAAGCAGAAAAGTTATTTATAAAATGATAGAGATAGACATATAATTATCTTGGGAATAAGAAATTTATTACTAACTCTAGTCGTTTAAATTTGCCCTGCAGTGTAACACCCAATTCCCCAATGATTAGCCTTCCTCAATTGCCTTCAGTTCTTGTTTTTCTTGGCTCTTGCAGGTAGAAAAATCATCTATCTATGGAAAAGTGGATCATTCATTTGTTTCTTCTATATAAATATTAAATATTGAAACTCAGCTCATATCATCATTAAACCCTCAAACAATAAATATTGTTGCATTAAAATCATTCTTAATTTTTAAGTAATATATTCAAAACAAGCAATATTAAGTGGAAAATTTGATACTAAAAATGTGGCAACTTGGCTGAAGTGCACGTCCTCAACATGGCAAAAGGGATAAGCTTTTGAAGGACTTTAAACAATGTTACTACTAATAAAGTTAATAACTTTCATAAATAAATTCAGCTAAATAAATTTCTATAATTGATACTTTTACAAAGTAAAAATATTAGGAAATATTACCTTAAAACACAAAATTTTGACATACTTTAGACAAAATATTACTAACTGAAGACTCAATCTTGAAAAGTATCAAAATTCAGGAAAGATAACAAATATGAATAAAAACAATATTCAGCAACTCCTCCATACATGGTAAAATTAATTTCCAAATTTTGTCTAGGTTACCTTTATTTTTTGACACCAAGTCACCCTAAAGGGAATATATCAAATTTTATATTAAATTTTCTCTTCAAGGTCTGGAGAGAAGGTCTCCAGGAAGGTGAAGTGATAAAGTAGCAATGAAACCATAGAGATTATTGGTGTGATTCATTGCTTCAATTTCTTGAGCCACACTTTTCTCATCTCAAAAATATGGAAACTAATAAATATCTTGCAGAGTTGTGTTGAGTTTCACAAATTACGTATGTAAAATGCCTGGCACAGAAGAGGAGTTTAATAAATGATAGCTAATGTTATTAATGTGATTGGAGGGTATAGGCTCAACATAGCATGGGAGAGACTTCTAAAAGAAATAAGAAATAGAAGACGCCACGATTTGCTAAGTTTGGCTCTATTAAACATCAACTTGGCAAGAACAAATAATTTGTACAATGCAGTATTTTTTTCATGCAGGTGCAAATGCATGATTTATGCACTTATAAATAAATCTGGCTTTACACATGGCTGACTATGTAAAATGAGGCTTTTTTTCCAAGGGATATGTGATCATGGCATATGTGCATAAAAGAAAAGTGGGACTGTTGAGAACCAGTAACAATAGCAATTGTGGAAATGATGATGTCAGAAAAGTTTGAAATATTTGAAAATAAATTCAAAAAAATATATACTAAGCCCATGGTTATATAGTTAACTTTTTAAAAAATAATACTGGTATCTAATATGCCACAATCAACATCAATGTGCAAGAAATAATATTCTCCATTAACTAGATGAGTGAAAAGGAGTTTAAAACTAAAATCATAGGCAAAGTGCTATCATGTAAATATCTATACTGAGGAGATCACAAATATCAGATGGTATTAATATTTCAGTTATTTACTTGCTACATGTAGGACCATAGATAGAACACTAGATCTTAATTTTATTAACAGTTATCTAGGTCAGTTTGTCTCTAATTTTCCATAATTTTATTTTATTTTATTTATATATTCCAGTAGCTAGATAGGTAGGTAGTTAAGCAATGAAGTCTTTCCTTCAAAAAACAACTTACATGTCTGCTATTTAAGACAGACAAAACTCCATCTTTGATTTAAGCAATGATAGTGGCTTGGCAATCTTCCAGATTCCACTTTAATCTACCTGCCCTCTTCCCAATGCTTCTGGTGCACCATGTAACCCAGTTGAAATAATCTTTTAAGGAATCTTTTGATGGTAAGAAATATTCTGATCAAATGGTTCATTTAAAATAAATGTTCCATTTTCCTTAAGAATATTTCTCCCTTTCTGGTTATTCAAAAAAGGATAATTACTTCCTCCAATTTATTTATAAAAAACAATATTAGTCACGCATAGTTCTCCTGAAAAGATAACATGGTGTAAAGTAAATAACAGCGAGTTTTAAACAATAAAATCTGGTTTGGCTGCATTTGCTTCTATTTACAATATAGGTGACCTTGGTCAAGTCATTTAACTTCTATGAGCCTCAGTATTCTCAAATATCTAACGGACATAATGATCTCTACCTACTTCAAAGGATTGTTGTGAAATTCCTGTAAGATAAATGTATTAAAATTCTTATAATGTTTATAACACTCACATTCTGTATTATAGCCCTAATTCCTACAGATTCAGATTGTGAATTTTTGTTTAACATGCAAATTAATTGCTGATTTATTTCTCTC